GTTTGCATCTGAAAGGTCCACAGGGGCTCAATAGAAATCAAAGCTCTTGGAGCTAGCAGTGGGGGGAAAGAAAACGGGAGTGTCAGGAGCAGGCATTGTGGGAATATAAATGAGGCCAGAGATGGAAAGGGCTAGACAGAAGAGAATGAAGCCCACAGAGGAAGCAGGAGATGGCACCTCCCATCCCCCCCTCACCTCTGCTCACCGTTATTTTTAAAGATTTATTATTTATGCATACAGACCTGTACAGGCCAGAGGTGCAGGGGCAGTGAGAGCATTCACCAGAGACAGAGTGGGGCGCAGAACAGGCAGATTGACAAAGTGCTGAGGGGAGCAGCGGGCGGGTCAGGAGAGGTCTGCTGCACCATGTGGGTCACCTCCCTGGCCAGGGAATAGAACTCATGCGGAAGCAGCTGCGGCTAGGTTTGTAGTGCTGTGTTTTAACCGGTTGTGCCACCAGGGAGGGCCCTTTTTTAAGGGCCATTCATTGCATACTGTCAGGACATATGCAAAGTAAAAACAAGAGGTTCACTTCTCCCCAAAAATAGAAGGAGCAAGTCCCCTCTTCTTTTTGTTTTGAGCATTGAACACTTGTCACTGCCTGTACTTTTCCCCCTCTTTGAAAGACATATAAATCCCTTTGAAGACTAAATGGCATTTTATTAGCTTTTTGACCCATGAAAATCTTTTGGAGACCTGGGAGCTATCTCTTTGAAATATGAGCACCCAGGGAGAGAGTCTGTCTCTGTTTGGGTGGGAGAACAGGAGCCTGGCTTCCAGCAGGTGCTTCCCTCTGCATTGCAAAATAGCTTCTGCACAAAAGGAGACATTTACTTTTCTCCTAAAGCCAATTATCTATCACAGATAGTTACCATAACTGCTGGGTAAGTTAAGATGAACTATTTGTGACCAATGGCACCATCCAGCCCTTCTACTTGCAAACTGGTGATTACCTTGAAAACATGTATGTCATGGCTTATAACTGCCTGGCTCTGTAGGCAGCTGAGACTTTTCTTCCTGCTTCTGTGATTCGCAGTGGGTCACCTGTGCTGTGCATGACATTCTGTTTAATGCTTATTGCATAACAAAGTAACTTTGTTATGATTACTACTACTGTTGTGGAGGATGAGGACAAGATCTTGTTTTTAAAATATCTCCCCAACAGGGCCCTGCCTGGTAACACAGTGGGTTAAAGCGTAGCACATAAAGCTATGTCAGCCACTGCAGCACGAGTTCAATCCCTGGCCAGGGAGGGGACCCACATGGCAAGGCAGACGGCTCCTGACCTGCCCACTGCTCCCCTCAGCAGTGTACTTCATCAGTCTGTCTGTTCTGCTCCCCACTCTGTCTCTGGTGAATCCTCTCATCCCATGTACCTCTG